CATCGGCCGCTCTATGGCAGCCATGGTGGCCACGGAGAGACATCTGTGGCTGAACCTCTCAGGCATTAAGGGCAAAGAGAAGTCCTTTCTGCTGAATGCGCCGCTTTTCGCCTTCTGGCCTGTTCGGCGACGCCGTTAATTCGGTCGTCAACAGGTTTCAGGAGATGAAGAAAAAGTCTGCGGCGTTCCAGCAGTACCTCCCCCGTAAGGCTAAGTCCAAATTGAGTAGGGTGGGGCAAAGTGATCAGCCCCAGCCTTCAGCCAGTTCCTCACACCGGACAGAGCAAAAAGAGAGCGTTTCCTCTAAAGCCCCTCCTCCCGGAGCTTGGCAACAGAGGAAACACTCTCAGAAATCGAAGTCCTCCAGCCCGAAGGGCAACCTGAGGGATGTCATTCAGGCAAGGAGGACTTCGGGAAAGAGGTCCTAACAGTGGTGGGACCTCGGAGGGCTGCCCCCTCTAGGAAAAAATGCATGCCCGCCGTTAGCAGCGCTTTGGGCCGCATCACTTTCCAACGAAAATATGAGTATAAAGCATTGGTTATGGTCGCAAGGACCATATCGACTACAGCCTGCCGGTATTCCGCTAAGGTAGTCGAAAAAGATACTCTGAAGACACCAGAGGCCAGTAGAGGGGTGGTATCATCTTCCCAACATATCTGCATGGGTCCTGCAGATAATACGAGCTGGGTACAGACTGCAGTTTGCACAAGTTTTCTGGGGTGGTGCACACTACGGTGGTCCCAGAGCAGGCTCAGGTGCTGGAACAAGTGCAGACTCTGCTGTTGAAAGGAGCCATAGAACGTGTTCTTCCGGTAGACAGGGAGTCCGGGTTTTACAGCCGGTACTTTATAGTTCCAAAAAAGGATGTGGGGTTAAGGCCAGTTTTGGATCTCAGGGTGTTGAACCGATCTCTGAGGAGGTTCAAGTTCAAAATGTTGACCATTCCAACAATCGTGAATCAAATCAGGTCCGAGGACTGGTTTGTCACGATAGATCTGAAAGACGCCTATTTTCACATCTCCATCCGTCCATATCACAGGAGATATCTGAGGTTCGCTTTCGGGGGCGAAGCGTACCAATATCGGGTTCTTCCGTTCGGCCTAGCACTCTCTCCCCGCACATTCACCAAGTGTATGGAAGTAGCCCTTGCTCCACTGAGACTTCAAGGGATTTGGATATTGAATTATCTCGACGACTGGCTCATTCTGGCTCAGTCTCAGGAGATGGCAGTTCGGCATCGAGATGCCGTTCTTGGCCACATTCAAAAATTGGGGTTAAGACTCAATATAAAAAAAGAGTGTGCTAGAACCATCCCAGTCCACGACTTTCTTAGGAGTCGTGTGGAATTCGATTACAATGCGGGCACAAATGTCTCCCGCACGTATCGAGTCGATTCTAGTGATGGTTTCCAGGGTGAAGCTGGGCCAGGCCATCACTGTAAAACATTTTCAAAGGATGCTGGGCCTGATGGCAGCGGCATCCAACATTATTCCTTTGGGCCTCCTACACATGAGGCCTATTCAGTGGTGGTTGAAAACCAAGGGGTTCTCCCCCAGGCGAAATCCGTTTCGTATGATCAGAGTAACGCGCAGGTGCCTTCGTTCTCTGCACATATGGAGGAAACCTTGGTTCCTATCCCAAGGGCCAGTATTGGGAGTGTCATGTCGCCGGGAAACCGTTTCAACAGACGCCTCCCTTACTGGCTGGGGCGCGGTCATGGACGGCCGCTTTGCCAGGGGTCAATGGCAGGACCATCATCGCACTTGGCATATAAACTGCCTAGAGATGTTGGCTGTGTTCAGGGCTTTGAGGAGCTTCCTCCCAGACCTCAAGGGTCACCATGTCTTAGTACGGACAGACAATACGTCAGTGGTGGCCTATCTGAACCGACAAGAGGGACTCAGATCGCGCCCTCTATGCAGATTGGCGCATCAAATTATCCTTTGGTCCCAAGGGAAGATACTGTCAATAAGAGCAATGTATATTCCGGGGGTTCAGAATCAGGGAGCAGACATCCTGTCGAGGCAGGGGCTGAGGCCCGGGGAATGGAGACTTCATCCGGAGGTGGTGAAGTCGATATGGGAGAGGTTTGGACCAATGGAAGTGGATCTGTTTGCGTCTCGAGAGACGTCCCACTGTCCACTTTGGTTCTCCCTCTCAATCCCCGCTGGGGTTGGATGCCATGGTACAGGCCTGGCCGAGGCTTCGCCTCAACGCATTTCCCCCGATCGTTTTGCTCCTGGGAGTCCTGGAGAGGGTCCATCAAGAGGGCATCAGTCTACTTCTGGTTGCCCCAAGATGGCCAACGCGAGTATGGTTTTCGGACATAATATCACTCCTCATAGCTCCGCCGTGGCAGATTCCTCTGAGGAGGGATCTGTTGTCTCAGGCGGAGGGCACAATCTTCCACCCTCGCCCAGAGCTGTGGAAACTGTGGGTCTGGCCTCTGAGGGGGTTCAGTACCTGAATGCTGGCTTATCAGCTGGAGTGGTCGAAACCATACTTAGCTCTAGGGCTCCATCTACCAGGAGATTATATGGCCTCAAGTGGAATGTGTTTGTCACTTGGTGTAGAAAACAGAGGTTAGATCCAGTGAACTGCCCGGTGGCTTCAGTTCTGGAATTTCTCCAAGACCGTTTCTCTGCGGGTCTCTCCCCGTCCACTCTTAAGGTGTACGTGGCTGCCATTTCGGCTTTCCACGCGCCAGTAGAGGATGGACCTTTGGGGAGGCACCAGTTGGTCATTAGGTTTCTCTGTGGTGCTTGGAGGATAAAGGCCGGCGACCAGGTCCAGGGTTCCTGCCTGGGACTTGGCAATAGTTCTGGAAGGGTTATCCTTGGCCCCCTTCGAACCTTTAGTGTCGGCTACGCTGAAGGACTTAACACTACAAATGGTCTTTCTTTTAGCCATTACCTCACTTAAGAGGGTGGGAGATCTCCAGGCCCTGGAGGTAACGCCGGCTTGCTTGGAGTTTGCCCCTGGCAGAGTAAAGGCCTTTTTGCACCCGAGTCCAGGCTACGTGCCTAAAGTTCCTTCGAATACGGCTCGTTCTATTGTCCTTCAAGCTTTCCATCCTCCACCTCATGTGTTGGTGGAAGAGAGGCTTCACTTGCTCTGCCCCGTCAGAGCTTTGAGTGTATACCTTGAAAGGTCCGCTTCTTGGAGAAGGTCGGACCAGTTGTTGGTATGTTTTGGGTCACCTAAGAGGGGACTCCCGGCAACTAAGCAGACTGTTAGTAACTGGATTGTCCAGGCTATTACTGAGGCTTACAAGGTGCGCGGGTTGCCTTCACCTTTGGCCTTAAGGGCCCACTCAACTAGAGGCATGGCTTCCTCTAGGGCCCTTCTTTCGGAAGTCCCTCTGCAGGAGATCTGTGAGGCAGCTGGCTGGGCTACCCCACATACTTTCATTAGGTTTTACAGTCTCCACCTTCCCAGTACGCCCGGTGCACACTTACTCAGCCCTTGCTGAAGTGCCTACCCAGTTTCACTCCGGGGCGGGTCTGTTCGGTGCGTGGCCTAGTGGGCACTCGTTCCCCAAAAAGTCGATTTTATCGACACAGTGTTGAGTTCCCTCGATAGGGAACGTCTTGGGTTATGACTATAACACTTGTTCCCTGAGAAGGGAACGAGACACTGCGTCATGTTGCCACGCCCCTTAAGACCCTTGAGCGTCTTTAAGCGACCCTTAAGCCCCCGAGACGTTTACAGTGTGCATCTGCTGCTGGCAGCGTCGGTTTTCCTTTTTGAATGACGAATATTGACTATTATTTCTGAAGAAATAGACAGTTGGCTCACCAAATAACTTATTAGAGCCGGCCCTGCTGCAGTTTTAAGTAGAAAATAGGCTACTCCGCAATGCTGTCGACTTTTGAATTTACACATGGTTTGTCAGCATATTGTAAACACCACATAGACATTAGACATAAAAACAACTTTAAAAGCTGGATTTTCACCACAGTTAAAACACTTTAACAATTAAATCATGCTAGACACATGCTTAGATATACAAACAAAACTAAATTTCTAACATGACTATGCAGTGTTTTCACTATGCTTTAAGACAAACCATGTACAAATTCATAAGTCAACACTAATGTTGAGTAAAGTTGTTTTACCACTAGTGGATTCTACTGTAAGAAGAATGAAATAAATTTTAGACATTTAAATTTTGAAGAATACTGAACATTTTGAATTGAACTGTTTTGGTTTGTCATGTAAGAGTTTTAACTTGCTTTAAATTTTAAGGTGTTTTAACATGCACTTCCTCTGCTTCCTCCTCAGAGGTCAGTACGCTCTGGGCGAAAGGACCTTGGTCGAGCTTTGGCCCAGTTTGGAGCAGAGCAATGACGGCATGTTGAGTCTCCAGCAGGATCTGCGCTTCGGCTGCAGATAATTCGTCAAAACAGCCCTAATGCCAGACTACTGCTTTTGATGACAAGATTATATATATTACAAATCTGGATAGCTTAACTTTCAATGTATGTTAAACATGAGTTAATTTTAACCGTTTCTTTGTTTAATATGTTACTCAGCAAATTAAATGTATACCAGCTTGACGTACAATGTTTATGCAAATTTCCATAATAAAAGAAGTCTAGCAAAGTCATCTATTCTGATTACTGTCCCAAAACAATAAACATTTAGATTGTACTGTTTCATTATTGATGCCGAAATGCACATATTATATTATTTATAATCTTCAACATGTAACCTTATGTTGTGCAATTTTCCAATAATTCAAGCTCAGCAGGATGTAAAAGTAAGTTTCTTTGGAAGGAAATATGCATTTGTGTTTAACTCAGCACATCAGTCTGAAGTTCATCAACTCATAGTGACACTGAGCGCAAATATCACTCAATAGTGCATTATAAGTTGTTGGTCAGCAATATGAAAATTGTAGGGGAGGTTCTCTATATTAAACCCTGCACTCGTCCTCCTAAAGTCCACAGCTCAACTGAAGAGACGCAGAAGTAATAATGGAACTGGAGGGCATTTATAACAGTGTTGACAGCGAGACCTGCAGCAAGAGCAACAAGAGGGGACTGGACAGAGATCAAGATATTTATGCTTATAAGGTCCGAAAATTCAGCCAGAGTGAAACAAGAGCTCAAAAACACAGTAAGGCATTTAGTGTGATTTTAGTTATGTTTATACTGAATACCAGTAATTTTAAACATATGTTTTTGATTTTTAACAGTGCACTTCTATGTAATTATAAAGTCCTAACAAAACAATAGCAAAAGAAAAGCAAACAGGAAAAAAAAAACAATGAAAATTACACAATTCAGCTGCATAATTTATTCATGCTGTAATGCATGATGGGAGTCATGGATGTGTTTTGATTGGTGACTCCCATCATTCACAGCAACATGAAGTGTTTGTGTGATTGTTTAGATTCTTGATGTCTGTGTGTGATTTTAAAACCTTCATATTATTAAAACTGCTGGAGTTAGCTGTACTGTTTTGAATACGAGTAAAACCTTTGTTGGTTCAATTAGGGCTGGGCGATATTAGGGCGGCACGATTAATCGCACGATGTTGTTATGCTCATCTAATCAGTAAAGCCGGTTCCTTAATTAGTAGTAAATCACCTTCACCTTCTTTCAGATGGAGCTGCATTTACTACAAAGAGCCGTATAGTTCACTGACAAGCTGAGCCAAATCACGTTAATATCGAGGACGTATCGCCAACGATATTTAATGCGATATGGCTCAGCTTGTCAGTTAACTACGGCTCTTCGTACACAGCAAGAACTCAGTGTTAAACTAACACACCTGGGAGTCCACTCTAGGGCTGGGCGATATATCGCACGATATTGTTCTTCAGAACGACGTCTCTTTGGTCGTGTGTCGGTCATTTTTCAAACTGATGCTTCGCTCTCCTTCACACACACACACACACACCCTTCATGTGTGCACGCGCACTAACCCCCCAGACCCACCCTCAAATACTTCTTGCCAGTGATTGGCTGGAACACTGTTTGTTAGGTTTCGTGGTCCGGGTGAGACATGATTGTTTTTGTTGCCGTTTGTGGAGCCTGTGGTGTCTACAGAGACCGCGTTTTTTTACAGTGTGTTTAGGGGACAGGCAGCTAGCCGATAGTGAGGAGACGTTTGATGTATGTGAAAAAAAATGTTTTGGCCCCACATCGCTCAGAGAACCTTTAAGCCAAAACGTGAGTAGGCTATCTTCAATTTTATTTAGCGAATCGTAGTAGCCTACTCGTTTGATTTATTTTTTAATAAAACTAATTTAGCTCATCGATACAACATATGAATAGTCCATTTAATATTTGTAAAGATAGTTTGTAACAAGATTTGAGCCGTTAATGTATGTTTTTTTGCCCCTTCCCCCCGAAAATATTTAGATAGCTTACGTTTACGTTAGCCTTTAACCTTGGACTTTTTGTAGAAATGTCATAAATGCTGCAGTTATTTTCACTGCCCATTTTGTGCCCCCATATATTTCAAACCCACAAAGTTGTCCAAATTTCAAAAACATCTCAAAGGACACTTCAACAGAGCAGTGCAACATGGTAACTATTTGCAAACATCTTTTTCTTTCTTGTTTTTTTTTTCTTCTTTTTGAAACATCATAAGACATGTGCTATCGGCCCTATGTTGTAAGCTATTCCAGGGTAGCCTACACCATACATCGATGGAGTTGCCCCTGCCGAATCCAGCAACATATCATTTATGATTATGCAAAGCGATTTAGTTATAAATGAGTTTTTTAATGCAATTGAAGACGAAAAGTAAAGTCACGAACACAGTTTTTCTTCCTTTTTTCTTTACAGCAAGATGATGTTTAGGTGATCATTAAATAAAGTGCAGAATTGTTTATTATTGGTGTTGTCTATTCTGATTTGTTTTGCTTCGCATTCAAAATATCAAAAAACAGATAGGCTATTGTAATGTTAGCATGGTAATATTAATTAGACCATTATAGGTTAAACTGAAAGAAAAATTGGAATTTGAATAAAAAAATAAAAACAAACATTGTAGCAATATAGTATCATATACTAGTTTTCTGAAGATAGTTCAATCTGTAATTGTATCCCTTCCATCAGTAACGATTAGTTTTTTTTGGCACATGCATTAAGCAGGGAACGCAAATATTTATTGGATAATATATTTGGAGCCTGTAATATTGCATCCTAATGTTTTTCATAGCATTTGGATAAGCGTGCGCTGTACTCTGTGTGCGGGTGTTATTCGATCTTTTGAACAGCAGGAGGCGCTGTGTTCGAAAAACGAGGGGTCTGAGAATGCGGGACTCTCGTGGGGGACTGTAGATGCAGGCTCCGAGTCTGCAGCTTCATAATATTGGTTGCATCCATCAGATGAACAAAAATAAACAATAATAAAATGCTGTTGGTCATATAATGACATTTATCTTTTGAAATGTATGTCTTTATTTTTTTCTGTTAGTTAGTGTATGACTGAGATTCTGCATAAATGTCCAGAATGTTAAATATAATAGACAGATTTCTCAAAAGTTGTTTACAAGAAAAAACCTTTCCTTTAGGCACACACAGACCTCAAGATTCAGTCAATGCTTCTCAACAACGGTGACGAGTAGAATATTCAAGTAGGAAAAGTAAATTACATAGATAATTCAGATCATAATTTATTCATACCGCAATGCGTGATGGGAGACATTAATGAGTTGTGATTGGTTGCAACAAAGATTATTATTGTCACCACGGTTGAGATACAGGCTGATTATTGATCTGTGTTTCTAAATAAGCATGAAAGTGATTTGATCAGAATAAATTTATTAATTATTTTAAGTTAAAAGAAAAATACAGATATGCAGTACAATCACTAAAATGTTGCTTACAAGGTATACCAATTCATCTGAAAAGTTTCATTTTATAGATCACAGCATGATTATGTCAAAACATAACCAACTCTATAAGATCAAAGATGTCTTATTTGACTGCTATAAATCAATAACAGCAGACACACAAAATTTAAAGTGAATGTACAAGTGTCAAGAGCCCAACTAAAGCAAACACTGATCTCCATAACGGTGACTTACAATTTGTGATTTTCTCCTTCAGTGATTCTGCTTGTGATCATCAGGTGTCTTCAATAATGCTAAATCATCACTAAATTAATCACTTAATTATCTCATTAACTTTAACACTCTTGAGTGTTAAAGGTTGTCTAAGCGATCCTGGGTGTTGACGTTCGGAATATTTTCAAACAAATCGGAGGCTAGCTAGACCCTCCCTCCCTCCCTCCTCCGCATCTCATCTCCTCCCCCTCCCTTCCGTGCTTCCTGAAATAATTGTGAACGTGCATAGTTCTAGCTAATTATATCCTTGTGTGGGTTTGGCGAACATAAGCGTCAATTTAGAAGAAAAAAAAACAATTTAACGTTACCCACCTGTCCAGCAAAAACAGAGCAACCTGAATGTCGGACTGAAAGCCCTTCTGCCGCCGGAGTTCTCGCCATCGTTCAAAAGCTTTGCTACCGATGTAAATTCGGAACTTCGCACGTTCTTTATCCGACTCCATCTTCTTTTTAATTTGTTCTTCAGAACGACGTCTCTTTGGTCGTGTGTCGGCCATTTTTCAAACTTCCCTCTGATGCTTCTCTGAGTCTCTCCTTCACACACACACACCCTTCATGTGCACGCGCACTAACCCCCCAGACCCACCCTCAAATACTTCTTGCCAGTGATTGGCTGGAACACTGTTTGTTAGGTTTCGTGGTCCGGGTGAGACATGATTGTTTTTGTTGCCGTTTGTGGAGCCTGTGGTGTCTACAGAGACCGCGTTTTTTTACAGTGTGTTTAGGGGACAGGCAGCTAGCCGATAGTGAGGAGACGTTTGATGTATGTGAAAAAAAATGTTTTGGCCCCACATCGCTCAGAGAACCTTTAATTTAACACTCATATCGTCCATCTGAAAGCAGGTGAAGGAGATTTACTGCTAATCAAGGAACCGGCTTTACTGATTAGATGCGCATAACAATATCGTGCGATATATCGCCCAGCCCTACTCCCAAACCTAACCTATGTCCACAAATTAAAACACCTGATATAACTAATTAAAGGGATAGTTCACTTTGAAATAAGTTTTTGATATGTTTTATCTTACCTCAAGGGCATCCAAGATGTAGGTGTCTTTGTTTCCACAGTATTTTCAATTTTGATATTTTTAGGTCGAACCATTCTTGTCTTCAGTCATATAATGCAGGTCTATGGTCACCACCTCAAAGAGCATGCACAGAGAAGTCCAAATTAAACATGATTTAATGACTCGTAAATGTAAGTACACATTGATGACCTAAGACACGAAACAAGCGGTTTGTGTGAGAAAACGAATGACGTACGAGACGAGTGACGTATACGTGCGAGAGATCACTTCCGTTTGTCTTGGGCCATCAATGTGTACTTACATTTACGAGTCATTAAATCATGTTTAATTTGGACTTCTCTGTGCATGCTTTTTGAGGTGGTGACCATAGACCTCTATTATATGACTGACAGACAACACCGGTTCGACCTAAAAATGTCAAAATTGAAAATACTGTGGAAACAAAGACACCTACATCTTGGATGCCCTTGAGGTAAGATAAAACATATCAAAAATTTATTTCAAAGTGAACTATCCCTTTAAGTCAATAGATAATATATCAAAAGGCAGATATTGAGTACATGTGTAAAATGTACTGAGGTTGTTAAGAATGCAATAATTACCTTTAAATGAACTCCAAGATGTAGGCTGGCTCCTCCTGATTGAATATGTAATAATATGCAGTGAACAGTAGCAAGGCCAGACAGGAAGCTGGGCTGAATGCTCTCCTCACACACAACTTGGCCTTCCAGTGTCCTCTTGTCAAAGTGTCTCCAAAAACAATACCACATGTGACAATAGTTTATTTTTTTACTATACCATTTTTATGTTTCAGCATTTTAAATGTAAACTATATTTTAGTATTCAGAATGCAGGAACGCTTTTTTTTAAATTAAAATTAACAAAGGAAGTATGAAAAGAAATAAGCAAATTACTGTTATGAACTGCTCCGAGACTTGGAGATGAAGATCCAAATGCAGCTTTATTAAGATTAGTCGTACAGGCAGGGTCGAGAATCATCAGACAGG